TGATATTTGGCAGAGAGGTCCACCAGTTTGGGGCCAGGACCGAGAACACCCTGGCCCTGGTCGAGGACAGCCGGATGTCTCTCGGGCCAGGGACCACCAGCAGGTTCTTGTCAGCCAAGTGGAATATGCTCTTTGAGGGGTATAACAGGAGATGCGGTCCCGAAGATATGTGGGGTCCTGGCCATTAAGGGCCTTAAAGGTTAGTACCATAACCTTGAACCTGATCCAGTACTCCACCGGAAGCCAGTGCATCTCATGAAGCACAAATTGGATATGTGCCATGCACAAAGTCCCCATGAGAACTTGTGCTGCCGTGTTCTGGACCAGCTAGAGTTTCTGGGTCAGTCTCAAGGGCAGCCCCTCATAAAGCGAGTTATAGTAGTCCAGTCTGGAGGTGACCATTGCATGGATGACTGTGGCTAGGTCAGGGCGAGACAGGTAGGGGGCCAGTTGCCTGACCTGGTACAGCTGGAAGAACGCCAGTCTGGCTACATTGGTGATCTGGGCCTCCGCTGATAAGGAGGCATCCACAATCACACCCAGGCTCTTGACAGTTGATGCCAGTGTCAAGGGTGCACCATCAAGGGCTGGGAGACGGCACCCCAGCCCTCAATCCCCCCTCCCCAGCCACAGAACCTCCCCCTTAGCAGGATTCAGTCTCCGCTGACTCTGTTTCAACCATCCCACCACAGCCTCAGAACCCTCAGCCACATTCACTGGGGTGGCGTTTTGTTTTCGATGGGCGACTTTTGAAACCGTACAACAGAAAAAAGTGCCTAAGGACAGCAAGGGGAGCCAGCGTGGTGTAGTGGTTAGAGTGTCAGACTAGGATCTGGGAGACCCGGGTTCAGATCCCCACTTTGTCAAGGAAGCTCGCTGGGTGACCTTGGGCCAGTCACACACTCTCAGCCTAACCTATCTCACAAGGTTGTTGTGAAGATAAAACAGAGGAGACAAGAACAATGTAAACCGCTTTGGGCACCCACTGGGGAGAAAGGCAGGGTATAAATAAAGTGAAATAAATAAATGAAAACCGAAATTAAAAAATGGCACATTCTTGCATCCTTATTTGGAATCCTAATTGTGATTGGGAAAGTAGGGAGAAAGCAGGGGTCCAGTCTGGGGGGCTTCCCAGGTGCTGGGAAGAGAGGGTCTCCTGAGCTACTCAACTGAGATTCAAGGAAGCATCTGGGTGCTTATCAACTCATGTGGTATGGCGCAGGGGTTAGAGTGTTGGCCTACGATCTGGGAGACCCAAGTTTCAATCTCCACAGTACCATGGAAGCTTGCTGGGTGACCATAGGACAGTCACACAGTCTCAACCTAACCTACCTTGCAGGGTTGCTGTGAGGATAAAAGAGGAGAAAATGACGTAGGCTGTTTTGGGTCCCCATTGAAGAGAAAGGTGGGGTACAGGCCCGTAGCCAGGATTTCTTAATTCAGGGTTTTTTTTAAATAAGTCAGGGGGCACTGATAAAATAAAAATAAAATAAACTCACAGTCGCAGGCAGAAGCAGGGTTATTTCCCCTATTGTGGAGGGTGGGTGTAAGTGGAAGTCAGTCACTGACTCCGAGTAACCTGAGGAGGATCCCCTCCTCCTCTCATTTCCCCCGCAACTGCATTGGCTGTGTGGAGTGCAGGGAACTACGGTGAAAGTGGTGGGCTCCTGTTCCGTTCCTTATGTCTTTCTTCCTGGCCGACTTCCTGCTATGTTGGGGGAAAACGTTATACTTTTTCCCCACCATAGAGAACAATGGAGGGGATGGGGGCACCCTGTTTGTGGGCCCGTAGAATTGTACCCCCTGGTCCAATGTTCTTGAAACTTGGTGGGTATCTTGGGGAGAGGCTCTTGCAGCTTTCCTGCAAGTTTGGAGCCTCACCCTCAAACTACCTCTCCTCCAGCCCCGTAGAATATACCCTATGTTTTCGCCATTGACTTCAATGGCCCATAGGATATAATGGGGCCGAAATTGACATTCTGCTGGTGGAAAGACTCCCCAATCCACTGGTACTGCCGAAATTGACACACGGGAGTCTTTCCACAGGCCGAAATTGATGCTGTCTGATTCGGCCCAGAATGGAGCCTCTGGGGCTGCTGACAGGTGGGAAAGTTTGGGAGCTTTGGTAGGAAGTCGGGGGGCTGGGTCCCAGAATGCTTCAATGTAGCTACGGGCCTGGTGGGGTATAAATAAAATTAATACATTTCCCTCCTCTTTCTCGGACCCCGAGTAGGCCAGGAGGAGGGTCACGTGGGAGGTTTATAGGGCAATCTGCGTGCCACTGTAAAGTGAGGACTGAAGTTTTGTTTTATCACTAGGGCTTTTTTTCTGGGGGAACTTTCTGGAACGGAGTTACAGAACCTCTTGGATAAAATTCTTTTTAAAATGTTTAAAAGTTTGTGAGTTTTCAGTATACAGATTGAAAACTTCATTTACCTCTTGAGACTTCCAGCTCCTCTTCCCTTCCCCCCACCCAAGAAGCCCTGTTTATTACAGTATATTATATTGAAGGACCTCCACTCCCCGTCTCTACAGTTTGAAACAATGGCAAATTTACAAATCTTCCTGCTTAGAGACAGAGAAAGGGAGTGTCTCTTGGTAAGCCTTCTGTGGTTTAATTCTTGCAGATCTGTTGTTCTTCTGCACTGGCTTTGGAAGCGAGCGTGGCCAGGCTTTCTCTTGTGGCTTAGTGCCAGTGCAAACAATTCTATTGAAAGAGTCCTAAATAGATTAGAGCTGGACTTTTGTTTGTTTGTTTTCTAGAAGCCACTCTGGAGTATCAGGTTCTGTAACAAAGTAGCAGAAGAAATACCACTGTAGCAGATACTGGAAAAGAAAAGAGTGTGTATGATCAGTGCCAAAGCAAGACACCTTCCTTCCGATGTGGCTTCAATGGCCTATTTCTGAAAATGATTATAAAAAGAACTTGAAATTTGCAAAGATACTGAATCCTTTACCAGGAACTGAGCAAGCGATCCTGCATGGTGTAGTGGTTAGAGTGCTGGACTAGGATCCAGGAGACCCGGGTTCAAATCCCTACTCTGCCACGAGAGCTTCCTGAGTGACTGTGGGCCGGTCCCACTCTCAGCCTAACCTACCTCACAGGGTTGTTGTGAGGACAAAATTGAGGAAGGGAGGACATCATAAGCCACACTGTGTCCCTGTTGCTGAGAAAAATAGCCCATACCCATTTCATAGCCATAAAATGCTCATCAGGTACCATATCTGTTTGCATCCAGTTGGTTGGGGGTTTTTTTTGTGTTTGGTTGATACTTATTTGGACTCCCCACTCCCAAGTCTCAACTTTTGTTTCATTTTCTGCTCTGGGGTTGGTGGAGGGCAATTCCCTTCCCACTTTTTGATTCCTTTTGCTGTGTCTGCCCAGTTTATCATCGGTGGACTTTACGGCCTCATTCTCTGAGCTGCCGTGCTGCCAGCAAGGCTAGAATTGAGCCTGGTTTGTGTTAAGAACTGATGAGGGGCTTGAACAAAGTCAGCCTAGAGGTGGTGGCATGGTTGCCAAGCTTCAGGTGGGGCCTGGAGTTCTCCCAGATTTAACATTGATCTCCAGACTACAGAGATCTAGGTAAAGGTTTCCCTTGCTCGAAAGCCAGTTGAGTCCAACTCTAGGGATGCGGTGCTCATCTCCATTTCCAAGCCGAAGAGCCAGGGCTGTCCAAAGACGTTTCTGTGGTCATGTGGCCGGCATGACTAAACACCGAGGCGCATGAAACACTGTGACCTTCCCACAGAAGCGGTACCTATTTATCTACTTGCAGTTTCTTGCTTTCGAACAGCTAGGTTAGCGGGAGCTGGGACCAGAGACAGGAGCTCACTCCGTCATACAGCAACTAAGGTCTTGAACTGCTGAAGTACAGACCTTCCAGTCTGCAGCTCAGCGTCTTCACCACTTGAGCCACCGCAGCCAAAGAGATCTAGTTCCCCTAAAAGACATGGCAGCTTCACTGGGTGGACTGAAGAGTTGAGGTCTCTACCCTTCTGAGGCACTGTCTCTAAATCTCCAGGAATTTCCAAGCTGGGGCTGGCAGGTGGAAGGGGGTCAAAAGAACAAGTGGTACAAAAACCCCTCCTGGTGTGCAGAAAATTAGCAAATCAGAGAGCCTGAATCTCGAATCCTTCTTCTTGATTTACTTTCTTCTTTTTAAAAAAATCAGCAACCCTTAAACTACTAAAGGCTGTATTGTTTGAACATTAATTGGCAGTGGCCTCTGATACAGGGAGAGGCTTCAGCCATGCGGATTTTTTTTTTTTTTGCTGTTCCCCCCTCTCTTGGCCTGCAATAACTGACTCCCTTCTTCTGAAGAAGTGAGCAGTGACTCACTACAGTTCATATCCTGCCACAAATTTTATTAGTCTTTAAGGGGCTACTGGACTCTTACTCTTTCATACTGCTACAGACAGACTAACACATCTACCCATCTTGATCCATCTCTCTTCTTCATAACTGGCTTTATTGTTTACCTGTTTACAGAAACAGATAATTGGTAGCTTAATTGTTAAAATGTTTGTTTTGCTGTTGGATTGTATTGTTTTTCATATTTTGTAATCCGCTTTGACTCCATGAGAAGGGTAGGTGATAGATGAAGTTAAAGTTTACACCTCCGTTCGTCATGTCTTCTGTGTGGAGGAAATTGGGTGGTGGGGGGAGATTTGGAAAGGAGGAGCTTTCAGTTATGTGAGTTCTCTTCCCCCCACCCAGTCTGCTCAGACACTGGCTTAACTGCCTCTGAATCAGGCTCTCAGTGATAAACATGTGCATTTGGAAGCCAGAGTTTCTCTTTGGGCAAAGCAGTGAAGGGAAAAACCCCTTTGCTAACCTGTAAAGAAGGAAAGAAGTTTGACAGCTGCTGATTTTAGGCTGCATGTTGTGGGAGGGAATTAAAATGATGGAAATGAAGTTGATGGTATCTCGCCTTTTCTCAGAATTATTTTTGAACAATTTGAAAGTCACTTTTTCTTTTTCTTTTTTTCCTCTGCAGGTCATGGTAACCATAAAGAAAGCAGCCCTTTCCTCAACAATTCTGAGGCTGGCAAAGGAGGAGACTATTATGACAGAAACTTGGCCTTGTTTGAGGTAAATAGATGTTCGGCCCTGGTTTATGTTATGTGCTGTGTTGTCTTTTAAAAAGAACAGCCTTGCCTTGCTAGATTAGACAAAAAGGATCCAGCATCTTGATTCCCATAGGAGCGAATCAGAAAGTCTGTGAGTAAAGCATGGAAGCCAAAGCAGTCCCCTGTTGTTGCCCTCGACAACTGGTATTCAAAGGTACACTGCCTTTGAATGTGGAGGCTCTGTTGAACCATCATGACTAATAACCACTGAATCCCTTTGAAAGTTACCTAAGCTAGTGGATATTGCTACAATCTGTGGCAATACTTTCCCACACTCTTGTGGCACCTCTGGATGGAATCTAAGACATGACCCCCATTTGGCTCTTTTTCTGCAAGCCAAAATTGTAAGAGAGCTGGTGGTGTTCGGTATTTTTTTTTCTTTTTTGAGAAGAGCAAGAAATGGTAGCCCTGCTCTAATGAGAGTGGTGTCAGCCGTGAATCCTGTCTTTGCTTTCAGATGGTCAGGATCTGGTCTCGTAGCAAAGATCTTTTTTGCGATGGTGTCATAGTTGTAGAACGACTGGATCTGTCTTATACTGACTCGAGTCTAATGGGGGTGGGGATAATGCCACCAATTCCTGTGAAAAAAATTTGTTGGGTTTTCTGGAGGCAATCACTTCAAAGAATGATCATCAGCATCCCTGGAACAATACGTTAAAATTTAGCGTAGGAGAAATTCCCAGCTCTGAGATGTCTTGGGTCATCTGCTGGCATTAGCCCTTTGGACTCGGAACCTTCAGCGTCGCATCACAGACCAGAATCCTCAGGCCGTGTTCGCCCAGAACAAGCACAAAGGTGGTTGACCTACTCTGCCATGGGAGGTGCAGTCGTGTCTCGCAATGAGTCTTGGGAAGAAGGATCGTCACTGGTTTGTGTCTCTGCTGTTTGCTCTCCCTTCTTGGCGCCGTGATGCTTCTGTCAAGAGAGGAAACTAATGCTTTTTACAGATCTGCATTATTTGAGTTTCTGTCTCTTTACAGTTGTTTGAGTTTCATGTCTCGTTACGGTGTACATCCTGCCTGGACGTATGTACATCTGTTTGTAAGAAAGCCAACACCTGCTCCCTTTGCAAACTAAAGGTAAAGGTAAAGGTTCCCTTGCTCGAAAGCCAGTCGAATCCGACTCTAGGGTTGTAGAGCTCATCTCCGTTTCAGAGCCGAAGAGCCAGCGCTGTCCGAAGACGTTTCCGTGGTCATGTGGCCGGCATGACTAAACACCAAGGCGCACAGAACGCTGTTACCTTCCCACTGAAGTGGTACCTATTTATCTACTTGCAATTTCTTGCTTTTGAACTGCTAGGTTGGCAGGAGTTGCAAACTAAACAGGGAACCAATAGCTGGGTCATTTGTGGGGTTCGTATCACAGGTTCACCTGTACATGAGTTGACTGTGACATGAGAATTACTCAACACACATACAAAGGATAATAATCAAGTGTACATGGATTGTACATGTGGTCACTGTAACTTATAAACTGGCCCAGTTGGTCAGCTGTGTTGGTCTGAAGCAGTACAACAAAAATTAGAGCCAAATGGCACCTTAAAGACCAGCAAAGGTTTATTTGAGGTATGAGCTTTCGTGTGCACACACACTTGATCAAATACGTTAGAATGGCAGGCAAGGTTCAGACTTCTAGCCAGAGGATGAGCAGCAGATTAACATGCAACACGATGATGATCAAGATATGCAAAGTGACACTAAATAACGTTAAGCCATTATTTAGTGTCACTTTGCATAACTTGATTGATCATTATCACTTTGCGTATCTTGATCATCATCCTGTTGCATGTTAATTTGCAGTTCATTCTCTGGCTATAGGTTTGAACCTTGCCTGCCATTCTAACGTATTTGATCAAGTGTGCGTGCACACGATCGTGGGTGCCTGATGGTGACAATCCCCCCCCCCCAGCTCCAACACCACAGTGCATCCTACTCAGGTTGCATCCACACATTGGATAATGCACTAGTGTTGCACTGTAGGAATAATGTGCACCTGGATTTTCTTGCATAGGCAAGACACTCTAGGTCTAGGAGATGGATGATTGCTACAGTGCAAGATGAAGAAGAACATGCTGTCAAGTCACAACTAACGCACGGCGGCCCCAGTCACAGGGCATTCCAGGCAAGAGATAAGCAGAATTGGCCTTCCTCTGCATAGCAACCGTGGTCTTCCTCGGTGGCCTCCCATCCCAGTACTGACCGTGGCCCACCCTGCTTAGCTTCCAAGCTCTGATGAAATTGGGCTAAGCTGGGCTATTCAGGTTGCTGCTATTGTGTGACAGGAGTGTAATGTCCAGTCGTTGTTGTGCCCTGTGAGACCGTTGCAGCAGTTCTGGCCTGCAGTGTGACATGTGTATGCCTTTGCATGCAAGCAGTTCAGCTCAGCTGCTCCCCCGGGTGTTAAGACTGCTCAGAGAATTAATGCTGGATGCATACTAGCAATGCTGATTCTGTGAACTTAGTCAGATCATGAGAGGGAGGGCAGGAAGGGATGCATCAGTGCTTAGTTCTTGTGGCCCTTCATTACACCCCCAGGGAAATGCTGACCGCCACTTTGGGGTCAGGATCCTAGATGTTTGTGGGGTTTTTGGTCTCTTTTGGGCAGGGGTCACTGGGGGTGTGGGGAGAAGGTATTTGTGAATTTCCTGCATTGTGCCGGGGGTTGGACTAGATGACCCCTGGAGATCCCTTCCAACTCTATGATTCTGTGATTCTCCGTTTAAAAACGAGGTGCAGATTTGCCTCCTGGGAGGGTATGACTCTGTCTGCCCATGGAAACCATCCCCCTTAGTAAAAAGGGCATTTTTCAAAGGAAAAGAATTGAAGAGTAGAAACTCAGGTAATATGCCAACCTGCTGGCTGGTGTGAGCGGGACTCGGGGGCTGGTACTGCCAAAGTTCAGAGCACTTTCTGCCTCCTCAGAAGCGACAGGGCTTTCCTGTCAGGTCACTTAATATTGACGCCAGCAAGCAGCCACTTCAGTGGGTCACAGTGAGGCACTCCATTTTGTACACACGGTTTCCATGGAAATGGCCCTTCAGGTCTCCTGTGGCCCACCCCAGCAGGCCTCTCCTCAGTTTGTCAGCTCTTTCAGAGTTTGCCTGGTTTTTGTGAAGAATGTCCTGCCAGTCAGCCTTTGCTTCTTTTCTCTTCATTTTTAAAACCATCTTGTGGCAGTTGTCTGGGAACGTTGCGCAGTCTTAAATGATCAGATCGGGAGTCTGCTTCTGTTCAGCAGAAGGAAAACTCCCTGGTGAAAATACTCCAGGAGTAGAGTTGCTGAGCCCTTTTCTCAGCTTTCTACTGTTTTTCTTGTCTCTTGCAAGTCTTGTTTGTCGCCTCAAATGTCAGCCAGCAGTTGGGGGGGGGGGGGGTTCTCAGCAAGAGGACATTAACCTCGCAACCCGTTCTCTTGATTTTTTTTTAATGGCCAGTTGACGCCTTGTCAGCCCCCCCCCCCCCAATATTTATTTGGGTTTGGGAATGGGGCTGTAATATAAGGGAATGGTTCAGGAGGGCAATCTATTCCACCATCTGTCGGATGTGTTATTTTACTATACTGCACTGCACTATCTTCTGCTGTTTTAAAATTTCCTGGCCCTGACCTGGACAACCCAGGCAAGCCTGATCTCATCAGGTCTCAGAAGCTAAGCGGGGCTGACCCTGGGAAGTACTTGGAAGGGAGACCTCCAAGGGATACCAAGGATGGGGTACAGAGGCAGGCAATAGCAAGCCATCTCTCTGAAACATCCAAGCCCCACTAGGGGTCGCCAGAAGTCAACAATGGCTTCCAGGCATACACACATACACATAATACTCACAAAAAATAAATTAAAATTCTGTTTTCTGCATACTTTTTGGGATGTCATGCCATAGATTGTTTTCTAATTCTGTAATCCTAGTTCCGTTGCTTTGTTTATTGGATGTTTTATGCAGTGGGGTCGCAGCGCTTTATATTTTGTAATCTATTTTCAGTCTCAGTTAGAGAGGTGGGCCATTCAATAAAACAAATATTCATTACCGGCGGTTCTCTGCCGGATATGGCACTCAAAGCAGTATAGGAAATAAATGGCTAAAACTGTGAAATGAAGGTGGGGTGGTAGAAGGAACCCACAAGGTCAGGACAAAGCAGCTACCCATAAAACTGCATAAGCAGCGTAGAACTTTGATTGCTGTACAAGATGCAGAAGGCATTCCAGAGGGGTGGCTGCGTTGGTCTGCTGCAGCAATCGCAGCAGAATCCTTGGCCCCCACACTCCTGCTGTTCATAGCTCTGGGTGTAAATATATCTGCAGACTGAATGTGACACTTCACGTATCTGAAGTAGGTTCTGGCTCATTAAAACTTAATGCCATAATAAATTTGTTCACCTTTGAAGGTGCCACAAGACTCTTTGTGGCTTAAGGTGCCTCAAAGGAACCATGATATTGGGGGTTGGTTTCTTTTTAAGTGCAATATATATGAGTCTGTGTCTGCATATACAAGTCCTGGTTTTTTGAAACCAGGGTCTTCACCTGGCAATTCAGTGCCATCATGGAGGAAGGCAGGCAGATGGGCAGGTGGCCGCTGAGCCCACGGCCTTCTTCCCTAAAGTGATGAGACAATAACTGTTTGGGGACTATCATAATGGCCTACTTTACAGGGCTGCCATAATAAAAGTTTGCTGAGATGATGTGCAGCAAAGCACTTTGAATTTTCAGAAGTTGCATACAAAGTGTTGTCCTTGCCACCATCATCAATTCATCATCATCTTTCCTTCCTTGGCAGGAGGAGCTGGATATTCGCCCGAAGGTCTCTTCCTTGCTTGGCAAACTGGTCAGCTACACAAATCTCACTCAAGGAGCCAAAGAGCATGAAGAGGCAGAAAGCGCCGAAGGCTCGAGGAGGAAAGTATCAAAAGTGTGTTGCTTCTTTCAATATCTAGTTTTTCATTTCTGCTTAGAGTTGCCAACCTCCAGGTGGGGCCTGGAGAGCCATTCAAATGACAACTGTTCTCTAGACAACAGAGATTGGTTCTTGTTGAAGGGTGGACTCTGTGGCATTAGACTCTGCTGAGGTCCCTCCCCTCCCTGAACCCCTGCCTCCCCCAGGCTTTACCCCCAAATCTGGAGTTGGCAACCCTATTTTCATTGCAGTTCTGGGAATGTGGGAAAATTTCCTGTTGCACCAGGGACAAAATAATCTTTCAGGAGAAAATAATAAACAAGTTCAGACTTCATCAGCATTGTGTTTTGTGTAGGTTTTAAAGGTAGAAAATAAGGTAAATGCCGGTAATTGGATGTTTTCAGGTGTTTGTGGTACTTACTACTAGAAATAAAACCAAGGTGGTTTCAATTCAAAATATCGATTGGAAAGGAAAAAGTGTCTTTGAGTCTTTTACCCGAGGGCAGTGAGTCAAATCTGGATGGTGCTGTGTAGTTAACCAAAAGCCACATGGGACGGAGGCTGTAGTGAGGAGAGAAGGAATTGAGCAAGACTGTGCAGAAAAACCTGGCTGGATCCAACTCCACGGATGGCTCATTTGTAAGGGTTTCTGCTGCAAATTGGGAGTTAACAAATTAGCTACAGAGGGTCATGCAAATCCTGGTCTCCTTCCAACATCATTCTCAATAGTTTCAAATGTGGGTTTTGGTGTTCATACTTGAACTAAGCCCCAGCAAAGCTGCAAGGCTGCTGCAGTACATATTGTACGAGATGCATGCAACCATCTGAAAAGGCGGGTCTTGATGTCTAGGTGGCACTTCTTTCTGGGGTTTTTGCAAGACACCTCTGGGAAGGGTGTGGTCGGGCCACAGGTATGATCCGAGATTTGACGTGGGAGGCCAGGATTTCAGATCCACCCATGCCCAAGCTTAAACTCTGTACACAATGGAATAAAGATCTCTTTCTGTGTTACCCATGCCAAGAAAAATCAGCATATTTGAATTTCAGAGCAGTGTGTGTATGTGGGGCCACGCTCATGTGTGTGTGCACATTGATCCTTTCTGAGGCAGAGTAGGACAGGAGCTATTTCTGTTAAGCAGAAAAAACAGCGGAGGCTTTAGTCAACTCGGGCCTCAGGGTTTGGTTTGGGAGGCGACTAATTATGGATAATTCTTTGTTGGTAAAAAAAGAGGCTTCCCTGACTGTGGCGGGCAGTCGGAGGCTTCTGGGCCAAGCTCCCACCCTCCAGAAAAGCCTTCAGTTCTGAGTGGATGCGGCTCAGGTCGTATGGCTGCCAACCTAGAAGCAAAAAAAAAACTGTGCAGAAAGAGGCATTTGTGGTAACAGAACTTGCTGGGGGACCGCTTCTGGGACGGGTAGCCTTCTAGGAACGTGCACATTTTGAGTAGGGCTCAGGGGTAATTTCCTGCAGGAGCGCACAGGAGCGGAGCTCCAGCAGTAAAGAGCCCAGGGGGCGGGCACATGCAACAAGCCCCACCCCCTGCTCCCAGCAGCCCTCAGTCAGAGCAAGAAGCAGCCAGGTAAGTTGCAGAGCCCCCCCCCCCAATCAAAAACAATCCAGTGGCACCTTTAAGACCAAGTTTTATTCAGGTACAAGCTCTCCCTCCTCTGCAAGGACAGATATGCATGTGTGTGTGTGTGTCCCCCCAATAGCTAGCAATCCAAAAGAGTCCAGTGGAGCCTGAGCGGTGGGTGTTGCCTTCTGACACACTTCTGGTGATGTCAGGGGGGTTGGCATATGGCATTGTTATGCTAATGAGTTATGCTAATGAGATCCTGCACCTCTTTTTCTATAAAATGTCCCCTGGTAGGGCTGCTAACCTCCAGGTGGTAGCTGGAGACCTCCTGGGATCAAGGCTCCTCTCCAGATGACAGAGATCAGTTCACCTGGAGAAAATGGCCACTTTGGAAGGTGGACTCTATAACATGATGCCCAGCTGAGGTGCCTCCCCTCCCCAAGCCCCACCCTCATAAGGCTCCACCCCCCCCCCCAATCTCCCGGGATATGAATTAAAGCTGCAACAATAGAGCAGCCATATAATAAGATATCAGAGAGCTGTTTATAAGCAGCTGAGCTGTATCCTGTAAAAAAAAGAAGCCCCCCTCTCCAAATATTAACCAGGCAAAATCATTTTTACCTTGCTGTCAAAAAGGACAGAAGAGTAGGTTGTCAGGAAAATCTGTAAAGAGAGAGCTGCTAAGCATTGGTGCCGTCACTGAATCGCCAGGAGCATCTGGGCCAAGGCCTCCAGTGAAGATCTCTGCAAGCAGACAGGATTATATTGAGGGGGGGGGATCATCTTGAGGACAGCAGCAGCTAAACTGGGGATTTGACCCTGGGTGCCGATTTGTCCCTTGTGGGCCGCCCTAACTGATGGACACACCAGTGCATTTTAGAGCAGCACTTCAAGTAGGGTGTGCTGACGTTTCAAGATGGCATAATGTTTGTCTGACTAGGACTGGGAGACCTAGAACTGGGAGACCTGGGTTCAAATTCCCACCATTTCATTGCTTCGGTGCTCACAGAGTCTCCTAAACCGATGTTTTCAGTTCTTCAAACCTTGGTGGCAAACCAGATGTGATGCATGATTATCAGTTCCCTTTCTCTCAAAAACAAGTAAACAAAAAATCTTCTGTAGAGTCCAAGGGGACTGAAAGACGACAAGTAGCCTTGTGAACAAAAGCATACAGGTGCCAGAAGGCTGTTTGTGGAGTCTGTGGACTTCGATCAGAGGAACTGTGAGCAAACTACCCACTTCTGCAGCTCAGTTCAGATCTGCTTGGAGCTGTTTTGAAGTTATTGGGGTGTGTGTGTGTGTGTGTGTGTGTGTGCGCATGCATGTGGGATATCCTGTTCAGGCATCTCCTGCATTGCATTTGAGGTGATCCTCATTTTCTCAAGATTTGTCATGGTCAGTAAGAGAGAGGGCCCATGACTTAGTGGTAGAGCAACTACTTCGCATGCAGAAGGTCTCAGGGCAAGTCTCCAGTTAAAAGGCTCAGGTGGTAGGGGATAGGAAAGGCATCTGTTTGAGACCCTGGAGAGCCGCTGCCAGTCTGACTAGATAATCCTGACCTTGCTAGACCAATGGAATGTCTCAGTATAAGGTAGTTTTATGAGAACAGCTACTGTGTCTTGCAAATCTTCTCTCATTGTGTGTGTGTAACACTGAGGAATAATGATTTCTCCCCCCCCCCCAGTCACCCAGCATGGGCACCCTGATGGGAGTCTACCTGCCATGTATGCAGAATATCTTTGGGGTCATTCTCTTCCTTCGGTTGACATGGATGGTGGGAACCGCTGGTGTTTTGCAGTCCTTCCTTATCGTCTTAATCTGCTGCTGTTGTGTGAGTACATGGCTCCATTGCAAAACCCCTCCCCGTGGTATAGTCTCACATGATGCATTGTTGCAGACAAAACAGATCTGAATTGGTTGGACCATTGTCTGCCTCTGTATCTGGTTGGGTGCCCTGTTGCCCTGGCTTGCATGGTTATTTTCCATTGCTGGTCCTTTCCCCCCCATCTAAGCTCCTTAGGGGTGTGTGGAATCGTATGGTATAGCCCCATCTTGTCAGTTGAGCAAAGTTGGATGGGGGACCACCAAGAAGACTCTGCAGAGGCAGGCAATGGCTTGCTGCCTCTGCTTCTCACTTGCCTTGAAAGCCCTGGGGTCAGTGTTAGTTGGCTGAAACTTGATGGTACTTTACACCCACCCACCCACCCACCCACCCACCCACTCATGGTTTCCGTGCTTTCAGAAGGGATTTTGCACAATGTGGAAAAAATATCCGTTTCACAAGACTGTTTTATCTGAGCATGTAGCAATCACAATTCTTATCAATTTCCACTTATCTACACTTATCCACTTATCAGCAGTTCAAGACCCGGGTGCCGCATGACGGAGTGAGCTCCCGTCTCTAGTTCCAGCTCCTGCCAACCTAGCAGTTCGAAAGCAACCAAGGAGGATTCTGCAGAGGCAGGCAATGGCAAACCATCTCTGCTTCTCACTTGCCTTGAAAGCCCCGTGCTGGGGTTGCCATAAGCCGGCTGCAACTTGATGGTCACATGGGTACATGAGCTCCTTAGGAGCAGAGACTTGTCATCTTTGCCTTTAAAATTATTTGCCTTCTACGGTTTGAATCCCTGCTCTGCTGTGGAAGTTTTGCTGGGTGACCTTGGGCTAGTCACACATATTCACCCTCACCCAGCTCTCAGGATTGTTGTGAGGATAATATGGAGGTGAAGGAGAAACCACATAAGCTGCTTTGGGTCCCCTCTGGGGAGAAAGGCAGTTTATTAATGAAATGAGTAAATACAAGAGGCTAATGTACAAACACATTTATATAATAACATACGGACAAGGCGGGGTGAAGAGGAGGAGAGAAACACACCCTGTTTACTGGGAAATTCTGATAATGGGACATTCCCCTCCCCCACTGCATGACCTCTGTCTTATAGTCATGGCCGACCCTCCAACAAAGAGCAAGGTGCAGAGGGGACAGACTGGAGGACGACGGGAGAGTACCCCATTTATATATGTGAAGCCATTTGAATTGGAGAAGAGAGGGGGCAGGCAGGGGCAACCAGCAAGGAAGCTTGCAGACTGTAAGCTGAATTTACTGCTGATATACAGTGAGTTGGAGGTCAAAGCCGAGTCTCAAGGTTACTTTAAACGCTTAAAGGGCTCCAGCAGGCCATGTCTCCATCTGTTCCGGTTCCTTTTCGTAACAGAATCTGAGCCACATCTTAACATTCTGAGCACGTTCACTCCTTTTCTTTTTAATTTACAAAATAGTTTTCGAGATACCTGGGAAGTCTGCCCCCCCACCCCGAGTATATAGAAATACAATCGTATCTTCTTTTTTACTGTGTGTGAGGGAGGTCTTTGAGCTACTACAGGAGATGTTGATGAATTCTATATGTATGTATGTCTCCTACAAAGGCACTTAATGTGTGCATGACTTATTCCAGATGGACTGTTTGGGTTTTAGTATAGAAATTTCAATCTTCAGATGCAGACTCAAAGAATTTTCCCACTAGGGAGAATGTTAAATAGATGCTGTGGACTTTCATTAAAAAAAAGACATTACACATTCCATCTTAGCAACTGCTGTTCATAATATAATATTATCCTGCAGTCTTTTTCTTCCCCCCCCCCACAAGGTTGCTCACAAAATCCACTCTTTTTGTCATTTGCAGACCATGCTGACAGCCATATCAATGAGCGCTATTGCTACAAACGGGGTTGTGCCAGGTAATGTCCCGATTTACTTGTAGCTTCATAGTGTAGCTTTGAGCAGATTGGGATCCAGATGGAGGGCTCCAGGGAATGGGAAATCTGCAACCTGTCGGGATCAAATGCTGCTTGGCCTCTCTCATCACTGCCCTTTGGATACAGTCCACGGGGAGCAGTTGCTGGATTCCCTCCATTCATTGTGCGAGAGAGTCTGAATGAAGTTTTCGCACAAGCCCAATCAATGGGCACTTTGCTGCCCCCTTTGTCAGAAAATCCATCACACTGGGTACAATTTAAAGGTGTTTACCAATTTGGGTTGATGCGATGAAATGTATTCTGTGTGTCATAAATGGATTAACGGTGCGGAGTCATGAAAGTTAATATGGAAATAATATTCAGTTATGGAATGATTATGACATGGCTGCAACATTCCAGGCAGCTGAACGCAACTTTCCTTCTCCAGCAAAAATCTAGAGAACCAGTTTTCATTTTTTTAATAGAAAAGTTCCTAGTCTTCATGACCGTGAAAGGATCTTCATAAATGTGACACTGCTGTGAATTATGAGGACCTAGTGGTTTAGGGAGGCAGGGAATCAGCATGTGCCCCACTGAATAAAAATTCTAGCAGGACTCCTCTCCCTTCTCCTAAGCTTGGAAGAAGTTCATTGGAAGACAAAGACACCTTGGGTCGGCTCTTTTATTTATTTTATTTATATATTAGATTTTTACCCTGCCCTCCCAGCAAGGCCCAACTCCCTTCCACAAAGTTGGATCCCATGACTGTCTTCTGCTGACCCTTCCTTGAAGGAACAAAGACTTTCTCCATGGAAGAATGACTTCTTCTGGTGGACAATGACTTCCTCTGCTTGAGGTCTTTGTTGAAGGAAGTCCATCTCTGTTGGCAAAAGACCCTGTGGAAGGGAGTCATAGGATCCTTGGTTCCCAAAGTCAGAGTGAGGTCTAGAAGCTTCCACCTCCGCCATCCCTCTTCTCCAGGTCCAGGAGAAGATGGGGGATCTCAGCCACAAGTCCATGCCCTCCGAGCTCAGAGAGGAGGAAAGTGGCACTAGGCCTTCAAGAGTGTTTGTCAGACCCCTGAAGTTCACCGTGATATCACAATCAAGACCACTCCCTTTGGAAGAGGAAAGGTTCAGTGACAGAACATGATTTTGGGTTGGTTCCTGAGGCTAGTCGAAACTTGGACTCCTGTATATTGAGCTTCATGTGTCATATATTTGCAGTGACTTTGTCAAACCTCTTCCATTCCACTCCTAGCCACCTTTCTCTTGAAAGTCAGCTAAATAATCCGTAAATGGTTACACAGAATAGAATATTTGGTGTTGGTAGTTAATAGCAACAGGCAGCTGAAAAGCGTAGGTGAGCCAAGATACACACTAAAAATGTGGTGTATTTACTTGAATTTCCTTAATGGCCGGACTGTTCTTGGCTAGTAACAGAACCGTTGTTGTTTTCAGACATGATCAGAAAAACAAGCCATTGCATGTGAAATGGAAAACCATTGCTGTCTTGCAGTCATTTTGTTCTTTTTGAGGTTACCTGGCTTGTAATCAGTATTGTGCTGAGAATAATTCTCCCCTCTTCCACGCTGTAGCTGGCGGCTCTTACTTCATGATCTCAAGATCGTTGGGTCCGGAGTTTGGTGGCGCAGTGGGCTTGTGTTTTTACCTGGGGACAACATTCGCAGGTGCTATGTACATCCTTGGTGCCATTGAAATCCTGCTCGTAAGTAGACCTAAATAGCAGGTAGCAAAGTTTGGTTCAAAAGACGTATCAAGCAACGACAACCCAGTAATACTTTCTTCTTAGAACCAGCCTATATGTCACGAAATGGTGTTGGTCGCACATTTGAGTTGGTCACAAATTCTCATTAAACTGGATGTTCAGTACAAAAGAGGAGGAGGTCAGAGCAGAGGTGTAAAATTTCCATACATTTTGCAGGCATGGGGGGAGCTGTATTTTTTTCCAGAAAAGAACCGAGAAATATTGTGAAAAATTGATATTGTATCTAACTTATTCTACTGCTTAAGTACCCTTAAATTAATCATTTATAATATAAGTACATGCCCTGGCCTGGATAGCCTAGGCTAGCCTGATTTCATCTGATCTCAGAAGCAAAGCAGAATCAGCCCTGGCTGATATTTGGATGGGAGACCTCGAAGGAATACCAGGGTTGTGATGCAAAGACAGGCAATAGCAAACCACCTTTGAATATCTCTTGTTCATCTTTAGGGCTTCCTCTGTGTGTGTGTGTTTGTGACTCTGCCTCTTGTAAGAACATAACATAAGAACATAAGAGATGCCAATGTTGGATCAGGCCAAAGGCCCATCCAGTCCAACACTCTGTATCACACAGTGGCCAGAAATACCAGTGCCATCAGGAGGTCCACCAGTGGGGCCAGGACATTAGAAGCCATTCCACTGTTGACACCCCCCCCCCAAGCACCAAGATGACAGAGCATCACTTGCCCCAGAGTCCCTAGCTATACCTTGTGGACCTCTGCTCCATATGCTTATATAATTCCCTTTTGAAGCCGTCCATGCTTGTAGCCGCCACCACTTCCTGTGGCAGTGAATTCCAAGTGTTTATCACTCTTTGGGTGAAGAAGTACTTCCTTTTATCCGTTCTAACCCGACCGCTCAGCAATTTCATGGAGTGCCCACGAGTTCTTGTATTGTGAGAAAGGGAGAAAAGTACCTCTTTCTCTACCTGCTGTGAGGGCCATTTTGTGGTTGTACCCACCACCCTGTGCTAGAATTCCAAGGTGCCCATGGGCTCAAAAAGATTGGGGACCCCTGGTTTAATGTGTACAGTTTGGTGTGTTTTTTTGTCCCACACGTTCTCCTAAATTTTCAGGAGAAAGGCAGGCTTATAAATATTTAGCATAGATGTGGCACGTGCCATTCTTTTCCAACATTACCGGAGAAGCTTCCTCTCTCCCCCTGAATAAATAGAGGTCTTGATCTCACCTCTGTGTGCATACTGGGTCCAGCCAGTTTACTACTGGAGGCAGTGACAAATTAGGTGGTGCTGGAGCAAAACAGACAAAGTTACACTAAGAGCTGCTGCAACAAAGAACCCCCCAAAATAGCTGCTTCTCTTTGAAAAAATATAAAAGCCCACAATATTCAGACCTCATGAGAAGGAAAGAAAAATACAGTCATCTTTATATTAGCAAAGCTGTTGATTAAAATGTGGTGAAAGGGAAGAAGCTCCATGTTAGAATTACTGATAAATGCATGTGGATATTACTGTAAATTACCCCGCATTTATGATAGCTGGGAAGGAACATCATCATTTGCTTGCTTTTGTACGTGAGCAGGAGATGCTAAGGTTGCGTTCTGACTCTTTCAGACCTACATCGCTCCCCAGGCAGCCATTTTTCACCCCACTGGAGCCCACGACACATCCAACGCCAACCTCAACAACATGCGAGTCTATGGGACTTTGTTCCTCACATTCATGGCTGTGGTGGTTTTCGTAGGCGTGAAATACGTCAACAAATTTGCTTCTCTCTTCCTGGCGTGTGTCATAATATCTATCTTGTCCATCTATGCTGGGGCCATCAAATCCATCTTTGATCCGCCTGCTTTTCCGTAAGTAAATCTCGTTCATCAAGACTGATGTGTGGTTCAGCGGAAGCCGCAAGACATATAGATGAGGGGCCCCAAGAAATGCATAAGGTCTTCAACCTTTTCCAGGCTCTCAAACTACAACATGGGACCCATTTTTAACCCTAGGTCTGGCTCTTTACTTGGTTTTTCTCTTCTCTCTTCCCTGCTCCCCCATCTTGCTTCCTCTTTTTTTTTAAAAAACTTTTTAAGAAAGGGGGAATACAATAATAGGCAATAATTTGGTCCAGTGTAGACATAACAGCAGCCTGAATAGCCCAGACCAGCCCAAGCTTGTCAGAACTTGGAAGCTAACCAGGGTCAGCCCTGGTTAGTCCTTGGATGGGAGACCACTAAGGGAGTCCGGGGTAGTCACACAGAGGTAGGCAAAGGTAAACCACCTCTCACCGTCTCCTGCCTTGAAAATCACATGAGCGGTCTGTTGCAGCTTGATGGCACTTTATTGTACGCAACACTCCAGATTACTATTTAGGATAACTCTGGCTGCAGTTAACAGAAAAGAAAAAAAACACCAGAATGTTAAAAAGAAAAAAAAACAGAATGAGAATATTAGGTTGGATCCATTGGTACTCACGCATTGTGGAAGGTGCTCACCTTCTTCAGCTTATGAAAGATTCTTTTTTTGTGGCTGAGTTAAGAAATTTACAAAATGTAAAACGAGTGTTTAAAAAAGAGTTACAAAACTGCCCACTTCTAATTTCTCCCCAGTGTCTGCATGCTGGGCAACAGAACTCTTTCGAGGGACCAGTTTGACATCTGTGCCAAAACAACAGTGGTTGATAATGTCACCGTGGCCACCAAGTTGACGGAGCTTTTCTGCCCACATTACAATGTCACCTCCGCGCAATGTGATGAGTACTTCCGCTTCAACAATGTTACAGAGATTGCAGGGATTCCTGGTGCCGCCAGCGGCATTTTGAAAGGTACAATTGTGAACTGTGGGAGCCCAGAGTGGTCTTTAGCTGCACCCTTGTGCCATTTGCAGCCTTTCACTTCAGAAATCCGTATCATCCTAGAAATCTTTCTGCTCCTTTAAAAAAGAAAAACAAGATTCTAATTAATGTTTTAAATTAGCCCCTATGTGTGAAGGCACTTGGTTGTCACCCGCCTCCTGTCTCTCCCTTTCTCGGGAAATGAGGTGCTCCATGGCTGGCTGGTTGCTTCCACCTACAGCTCACTGTAATGGGATGTTGTGTTCACAGTTGCATGAAGAAGGTGGCAGAAAGCCCCTCCACCACAGTTAAATGCCACCTTTTCAGTGCTCCTAGCCCCTCTTTGTTTCTGGAAATAAAAGCATCCAGCAGCCCAGGGCCGGGGACAAAAAGTGACCCATTGTGGACAGCCTGCTACAGGGCACCTCATTTCCCTAAAGTGGAAGAGGCAGTGGCAGAGCAGCTGTCCCTGAGCACTATCCATTGGCTGTAGTATGTACCAGCATTTGATTTGTTGATACGCTACAGTAGCATGTATAGCAGTAAGAACCCAAAGAGCATTCAGAGAGCATTTGTGTCTAGGGATGGGCACGAACCTAATTTCATGACGAACATAGCCGGTTCAGAAGTGTCAAAGTCATTTGTTACAAGGGTCAGAGCTGGCATACATGTCACTTTGTCGGGCCAGGCCATGTGTTCCATAAAGGTAATGCCAGGTACCGGAGATTGAAACTGTATAAAGGACAGCAGCTGGTAATCTCCGAGTTGATGTATCCTCCCTGCAAGACCCCATGGGCTGGGAGGGGAGTGAAGAGGAAACCTCACATAGGAGGACTGGAGAGGCAGCAGTGCAGCACTGGGCAGACGCTCCCACGATGCTTGACTGCTGAAGACAAGGTTGTTCTGCCATGCTGAAGCCACAGTGGAGTGGCTCCGCCCACTCCCCTCCAGCACTTCCTCCCTTGCATCAGTTGCTTGCAGGATGCATAAGTGCCCTGGATGGGCCTGATCTGGCCCCCGGGCCTTATGTTTGACATCCCTGCTCCACCGCATCAAGAATCTCACAAAACGAGCCAGCTTTTTAAATGGGGATGTTCGTGAAGGTTTGTAATTTGTGTGACACCACGAACCAGATGAACCTCTTTTCCCAGTTTGTGCCCATCCCTATTTGTGTCCTTACTAGAGAAGGAATCATCTTCCAGCCAGCAGTACATCCAATGCAACCAACTTAGGCTTTCTAAATTGTTTGTATGGAGCATTTTCCTGTACTGAGTAAATAGATGTTCCATTCGCTTATCCGTCCGTTCACTCTTTGCCTCCCATGTCTATAATCTCTCTCTCCCTACCCAAGATAACATCTGGAGTAATTACTTGGAGAAAGGAGAGATCCTGGAGAAAGCCGACCGCCTGTCTGTGGATGTTTCTGGCCACAAGAGCAACCTCCACTTGTACGTTTATGCAGACATCGCAACATCCTTCACGGTGCTTGTGGGCATCTTCTTCCCTTCTGTGACAGGTAAGGGTGTAGAGTGTTCCCTGGGCACTTTCTCTGTGTGTGTGCACATTCGTGTGCTTTTTCGGGAATGGTCTTCATACATTAAAAGTTTGTTTTTCTTTTCAAGGGATCATGGCTGGTTCAAACCGATCCGGAGACCTCAAGGATGCCCAGAAATCTATTCCTATTGGAACGATCCTGGCCATTGTCACCACGTCTCTAGTCTGTATCTTTTTTTAAAAAAAAATTATAGTGCCTGTAAAAAGTTTGTGACCTTTGGACACCTGCAGTCTCACGCCTTGCATGGTCCAACGTGCATTTTTTAATTTGTCTCGACATTTCTATTTGTAGCTACATTGTTAGTACTTTTTAAATGTTATTTCATAGCATCAGCAAGCGGGTTGCGTCACAGTGCCCTCCTGTTATGCTTGCTTATTTTGGGCATTTCCTTTGTATTTTTATAATTGTACCATAATAAATGAAAGGTTGTGTTTTTCCGTAAATGTGAAATTCTGCCGTTGCATGAATTTGCTGTGTTACTGCTGACATTCTCAGATGTCCAACTGGATTCCTTAGCAAAACGTGTTACATTCAGATTTCAGCTGTGTAGTGCTGTTTGGAGCTTGTATCGAAGGTGTTGTTCTTAGAGACAAGTAAGTAGCCCTCAAGTTTCCAATCCTGTCAGTCGTGTCTCCACCTGAAACTGTGCGAGAAGACTGGTTTTGCCCCTTGCTTCTGCTCTTTGCAAAATTGCCAAATCCTATTTATTTTATGCTTTATTTTTACCAGCTGCTTAAATGCAGGACTGTAGGCCTTTTAGCAAGTGTAGAAAAGCACAGAATGTGGGTGCTGCACATGCCTTAAACTCCCAGACTTGTTTGAAAAAGCTGGTTTCTAGTCCTTATGACTGGTCAGGGTTTCAGTGTGACGTTTATGCTCGTCGCTGCTCAGAGCAAACGAAATTATGCCAATGATGTTTAATCTGCATAATTTATACAGGTTGCAGGATCTGGTTTACCTTGATTGAATGTTGACTTTATTTTTTACTAGTGCACAAAGTCTGGCTTACCTGATATTTTGCCAAACAAATGCTGGCTTGCTATGATGTTTTATATTTTAATTTTTATTGTATTACTCAAATATATATTGTATAAATGAAATGCTGTTATCTGCCCTGAGCCCGGTTGCAGGAAGGTGGACTATAAATATGAATGAATAAATAAATAAATTATACACAGCTTGCATCTATGCACCATGCACACTGAGTATGAGTTTGAACCAATTTTTTTGGTACAAGAGGGATGGCATGGTAGCTTCATTCAGAATGTAAATGCAATTTTGGGATGTAATTGCAATACTTTAACCAGCTAACATTGCATCCCAAACTGCTGTTCAGGTCATTTTTATTTTTTTTTAAGTACAGTATGAGCGATTTTGAATCATTCTTAATTTTATCTGCCTTCATTAGATCGTCATGCTGTATCATCTTAAGGCTTTAAATAAACATATCTAGAAACAAAGAAAGAGAGCCATATGTAACTCATCGGATGCCATTTGTTTACCAGGTGGCTTGAATCCAAAGTGGAAGAAGCACTTTTGCTTTTATACATGGGATAGAGTCACCAATTCTCCCGATCCCCCCAGTACCCCATTGCACATCCTTTCCAGAGGGTCGTCTGACCCTCTGGGACAGCTGTCCAGTTTTGTGTGTGTGCATTCACACAGGAAAAATAAAGCCCCATGTCATCCAGGTGTTGGTTATCACTTTGGTAAATGCGTTTTAATTCAGACAGACACCTTTCCAGTATTGGAATAGAAGCATTTTTGTGTGTGTGTGTTTGGAACCTTATGTATGAATGACAGCTTGTTTTAGGAAAAATATGTTGAGGGCTCTTTTGTTAACTTTAAAAAAAAGGCCTTAAGTAACTTTAGAAAATGCAGTCCAAGCCTCTTGAAAATAATTAACCTCATCCTTTGTACAGATATGGTGATGCTGTGAACAAGAATTTGGTGGTGGGCACGCTTTCGTGGCCCTCGCCGTGGGTCATTGTGATCGGCTCGTTTTTCTCCACTTGTGGGGCTGGCTTGCAGAGCCTCACCGGAGCCCCCCGGCTACTTCAAGCAATCGCCAAGGACAACATAATTCCTTTCTTGTGGGTTTGTACAAATTTAAAGCTGTTTTCTTCTTGCAAGGATTAAAGCAGGTGAATGTGGGTTTCTTTTTCTTTATTTAAGTTTCCAAGGTCTGTCAGCTTGGAAACTTTAGTGTGTTCTCCCATGGGAAAAAAGGAGTGTCCTAAGAGAGTACTGAATCTTGAAAATTCTCATTCATAAGAACAAAAGAGAAGCCAATGTTGGATCAGGCCAATGGCCCATCTAGTCCAACACTCTGTCACACAGTGGCCAAAAATACCAGGTGCCATCAGTGGAGCCAGGACACTAGAAACTCTCCCACTGTTGCCCCCCCCACCCCCAAACACCTTTCTTTAAAAAAATGAATAAAAAGAGAACAAGTTTTGGTCATCTTGAAAATTGGACTGCCAAGGCCCTAAACAGTAGAACATCAAGAAGCAAGTAAAAACAAACCCTAAGTAATTCTACAATTTCTAAGTCCATGTATATTAAGATCTTGTATCTTATATATTTGACAGTAGCTGTATCAGGCCCAGCTTAACATATCTTCCAGCTGAATTTCAGCCCCTTGGATAGCCATGGAGCATTTCACCCTGGAAGGGATTCTGAAAATGGCAGCCTGAATGATCAAAAGGTTGAGGTACCTTCCCTCTGAAGAAAGGCCAGCATTTTGGAGCTCTTCCATTTAGGAGGAAGAGATGACAATGGAAAGACAGGGAACAAGTTTATAAAACTATATACGGGGTGGGGAATGTGGATAAAGAGGGCTTGTGGGCAGGGGTTAGAGTAGGGGTCCCCAACATGGCACCTGCTGACACCTTTCCCGGCACCCGCCAAATGTTTTTAGGTGGGGCCAGTTGGCTTCTGATTCACCACTGAAGATTTTATTAGCTGTGCAGATTTTTTTTTTTAAAAAAAACAAACCTGTAAACAAACATTGCTTTGGCAGCAGCTTCCACCACAGCACAAGGATCCTTACGGTGTGACTGAAGGCAAGTGGTGGCAGCCATTTTGTGCCTGGTTCTGCCTCCTGTGGCTGGAAGCCATTTTGTGTCTGCACTTACCACATTGCGCCTGAATTCAGAAAGCACCCACAGGCTCAGAAAGGTCAGAAACCCCTGGGTTAGAGTCTCAGACTAGGATCTGGGACACCTGGGTTTGAATCCCCCAGTTTGTCATGGAAGCTCGCTGGGTGACCTTGGGCCCAGTCACACATCCTCACCCTAACCTGCCTCACACGGTTCTTGTGAGGATAAAACGGAGGGGAGGGGAACGATGTCAGCCACTTCGTGTCCCCGTTGGGGAGGAAGGTGGGGCACAAACAAAGTAAATACGTAATTATTCTTGTGTCTTGGTATACAGAGCCCCTCTGTTCTGCAGTGGCCGTGTCACTGTCTGTCACTTCTGTACGAATCATCCAGCATTGGCCTTACCGCTTTTTAATCTATGCTCAGTTGATGAGCATGAAAGGAACCAAAGCAGTCCCATTCTGCCCCTCAATCGTCTCTTACAGGTCTTTGGCCACGGAAAGGCGAATGGGGAGCCAACCTGGGCCCTTCTGCTGACAGCGGTGATTGCAGAACTTGGGATTCTTATTGCATCCCTGGACATGGTAGCCCCCATTCTTTCTATGTGAGTATCGGCCTTTTGATGTCCTAAGCAGAGTGGGATGCATGGTTCTGAAATGTTGGCTGTGTCTGCTCAGCATGCAACAGGAGCTCTCTCAAGCTCTTCCCCTTCAGAGAGCCAGCTCAGCCCCAAAGGGTCAAGGAAACTTTGTACGTTGCAGGGGATTCCAGCAAGTATTTCGGGGCTATGCTCAGTCCTGGATGGCCCAGGTTAGCCTGATCTCATCAGATTTCGGAAGCTAAGCAGGGCCAGCCCTGGTTAGAACTTGGATGGCAGACCACCAAGGAGGTCTGGGGTCACTGTGCAGAGGCAGACCTGCCTTGAAAACCCTGAGGTTGCCATACGTTGTCTTAAGACTTGATGGCACTTTACACGCATGCTTTGTTGATGTAGGTTACTGGCTGTACTTCCTGGCCCTCCCTGAGCATATGCTTTAGAAGACACCCAACGGTGGCTGCACAGTGCAGAGAAAGATCAGTCATGGTGGTATTGTTGTGCTAAGATCATTGTTGGAAACCTTCTCTCTGTGTGCCCCGACCTTCTGAAGTGTGGCGGGGGGTCACTAGAGATGGAGCCTTCTTTGTGTTGGTGCCTTTACCCCCACGACTGCCAAGCGTCACACAATGTCTCTCTCCTCTTTCTAGGTTTTTCTTGATGTGTTACTTGTTCGTCAACTTGGCTTGTGCAGTGCAAACACTTTTAAGGACACCAAACTGGCGGCCCAGATTTAAGTACTATCACTGGTAAGTTTTAAAAAAATATATAGATGAGAAGATGTGTAAGGGATTATTCGGACATCTGAGGGCCAAGGGGAAAGGCTCTTCGTAAGGGAGATATGTAAAAGTCTGGAAAATAGCCTGGCGTGCCTCCCAGGTTTGTTCATTTAGGGTAATTATATGTTTGCTTCGCACGTGCATGTTCATTTATCACCCCTATGATGTTTTTATCCCACTCTTCCTTCAAGAAGTTCAGGGCCGCCGTGTATGGCTTGCTTCTCCCCCCACATACTCATACATCTGCCATTTCATCCTCCAAGCCCTGTGCGGTATGTTGTGGATGGAAAGGGTGTTGCTGGCCCAGGTTTACCCAGTGAGAGTCTGAGCTGAGTGGGGACTGGAACCCAGGTCTCCCCAGTCTTCAGTTTGACATCGTAACCACTACATTACGGTACTTGGATCCAGTGCTCCCTCTAAGCTGTGGAGTCCTGTGAGCAAAAATTCTACTTTGTGAGCTACTGGCATTAAAGTTGTGAGCAAGTGATTTGGCTACTGCATAAACTAGTTTGCCCTGGAGCCTTCCTTCCTGAGCTAAGACAAAAATGTGTGAGCCAGAGGCTAAAAAACTGAGAGCTAACTCACACTAACTCAGCTTAGATGGAACACTGCCCTGTAGCAGATTTCCTACAAATGGAAGGTGGGGTGTAATTTTTCTGCCAATTCCTCCCCCCACCATGCTATTTCTTAGGGACCCCCTCTGTTGCCTAGGAGCAGCATTTCAGAGAGCATTATGGACTAAGGGAGGTAAGGAAGTCCTGTTCCTCTTCCAGAAATGTCTCCTGTTTGTGGAAAGTTAGCACAAAATCCAAGCACTTGGCTCCCATTTGGATCACTTGTGGGCAATGCCCCCTCTAAGCTGTGGAGCCTTGTGAGCAAAAATTCCACTTCGTAGGCTACTGGCATTAAAGTTCTGAGTGAGTGATTTGGCTACTGCATAAATTAGTTTGTGCTGGAGCCATCCTTCCTGAGCTAAGACGAAAATGTGTGAGCCAGAGACTAAAAAACTGTGAGCTAGCTCACACTAACTCAGCCTAGCGGGAACACTGCTTGTGAGAATCAAATGAAGGTGGGAGGAGAACCCTGGGCTTCTTGGAGAAAGGATAGGATAAAATTGAAATTGAAGTAACATTTGTCTTAAATCACATGTGTCATTACAATGCCCCATGAATTGGGCCCATACTATTCTCTCCATGTTGTTGATGGACGGGACAGGGAGTAGTTGTGGTTGATAGAGACATGTCCGAGACCAGTTGGTATGTTTGTGGCCGAGATGAAATTTGAACCCAGGACTGCCCACCTCATAGCTTGATGTTGTAGCTGCTGTGCTGTGCCAGCTAAAACACCCCAGACGGAATCTTCACATCACGTGGAGCACAGCACTTTTGAGCTTCCATACATCCAGCTGTCTCCCCAAGTGTCAAAGAATCAAGTGGCTTTCATGCATGTGTGAACCAGTCCCAGCTATGCTTGTTAACATTTTTGAGTTTCTTTTCCAGGGCATTGTCCTTTTTAGGCATGAGCATCTGCCTTGCACTGATGTTCATTTCATCCTGGTATTATGCTTTAGTGGCTATGCTCATCGCCGGCATGATTTACAAGTACATTGAATATCAGGGGTAAGTAGCTTCTAATGAAAATGAATCTACGATTTGGAAGAATGGCAGCTGGGGATGATTACAGAACTGATCCCTTTAGTGTCTTTATTGGGAAGTTTGGGAGAGGACAGTCTAGTAATCCACAATGTGGTACCCACCGTGTTTCTTTGAGTGCTGAGTAACCTCTCCTTGAGTGCTCTGCTTGAGTAACCCACAGCATCTTGGGGTTGAGCTTATTCATCCTTTTGCTCATTGTAAGCTGATCGATTGTATTACTTGTTTAATTAAAGAAATATCGTCTGTATCCTGAGAACCAAAAACTGTTTGCCCATCTGCCTCGCCTCTCTTCTGTAATTGAGAATGGTGGGCATCATCATTCAAATCGCACTGGGCACTAAATGGTCTGAAAATGCCCAGTTTTGTTACCATGGGTTGGATTTTTTTTCACTCAGTCTTGCCCAGTTCCCCTCCCCTCCCCTCCCCCAACCCATGTGCAGGTTTTGTCCCTGCAGGTCCCATGATCCCCAGTTTTATTTATTTTTATTTATTTATTTAATTATTTAATTTTTATCCCGAGGCGGCTCAGGGCGGCGTACAACAATAAATCAGTAAAACAATTTATACAAACATTAAAATTACAATTTACATTTTGCCTTTTGGGGGGTGGATAAGGGGGGACCCATCCTCCACTTTTTTCACCAACAGAAAAACTGATTGGATTCAACCTAGTGATGCCGTCTACCAAGGCAACTGGTTTGGGACCTGGCTCACTCTTGGACAGGGGGATCTTGCGAAAGAAGAACAGAATTATCTTTAAATAGCTTGACTTGTTTTTATTGTTGGCATCATTTTGTTGTTTTTTCATTGTGAACTGCCTCAGGCAGGTTCCGGAGAGGCAGCATACACATTTTCTCAAAATATAAAAATAAGTAAATAGGAGAGTCAAAAGAATTTATCCAAGAGTAGTCATAATAGCCAGTTTCTGTGTTACAAAATGTCATACAGCTGAGCTAAATATGGTTAAAGCTGCAACGGTTGCTTAGAATGGGCTTGCTTCGGAAATTCTACCTTGCAGGGCTGAGAAGGAATGGGGCGACGGGATTCGGGGTCTATCACTCAGCGCCGCCAGGTACGCCTTGCTGAGACTGGAGGAAGGGCCCCCTCACACCAAGAACTGGAGGTAATTTACTTTTGCATTTATTAAAAAACAGATCCGGTAGTACTCTCTACTTCCTCCTCTGAGTTTTCACTGTTCTTCTCCCTGAAGAGCTCCTGAATTTCTGGAACCTCTTTAAGAGCCACTAGTGTAGATCAGGCCTCAGTCATTCCAGTCTCGGGCCGGGCTGTCTTTTTCATGGAAATGCTGCTTACTTTGCATGAATAAATAAATACATGGAGCAGCTGCACAAATCTCACTACCTTATAGGTCCAGAGAATAACGTTTGGGCCCCAAACAGAACCTGCAGACCAGCTTGCGTTATGGCTGAACTGTTGAACGGCTGCTCTTATGAACAGAATCTCCATGAGACAGGCTCCCAGGAAGAGCAGTGTGGCTACCAAAAAGTCACGGTTGCAAATAATCTTTGGAGGCTTCCAAGCCCGAGCAGGGTGGTTAAAGGCATCCAGTACTGCCTGGAGCTGCTTAATATTCCGGCCGGCTGTCGAGGGCCCTGGGAAACGCAGCCCACCCCGAGACCTCTCTGCTTTCCTCTTCTTTCAGGCCGCAGCTGCTGGTGCTTCTGAAGCTGGACGAGGATTTGCATGTGAAATACCCCAGGCTGTTGACGTTTGCTTCTCAGCTGAAAGCCGGCAAGGGGCTGACCATTGTCGGTACGGTGATCCAGGGCAACTTCCTGGAGAGTTATGGAGAGGCCCAAGCTGCTGAACAGGTGGGCATGGCGGGTTGTCTCATAAAAATGTGTTACACGTCCTGGAGCATTTGGCCAGAGAGGTTAGCAGCTCTTTTTAGGAAAGCCGCACAATTTTGCTTATGACCTTGTGGAAACCGAGCAAATCCATTCCTTGCGCCCGGGCGTGTCCAGAGAGCATCTCTTGAGAGCTCCAGCGGGAGCAAGGAAGGTGCAGTTGTTGTTTTTGTTGACACGTATGGTATGAGGTGTATGCTTACAATAGGTTTGACCAGACAGCCCAAATTCTGCCCCAAGAAATCCTGGGATCTGCATCCTCTGGAACCCATCTGGGTGTGCACTTATTGCTCAAAATATGTGTGCTGCATTGTTTCCAGTCTTGCAACTTGTTCTGCTTTTGCTAGTCGTGGGGGTGGGCAAGGACACCATGTCCCCAGCCCCTGGGACTCTTTTTTTTCTGACTTCTGAGATTTCAACAGCAAACTTTCAAGAATGTTTTCTCCAACAGCAAAGAGCTGTAAACTAGAGAGCAACTGTGGTGCCATGATTTAAGTATCAAGCTAGGATCTGGGAGACCCAAGTTCAAATCCCCACTTCCCCATGGAAGCTCGCTGGGTGACCATGGGCCAGTCACACCTTCTCCACCTAGTCTACCCCACAGGGTTTTTGTGTGGATGAAGGGGAGAATGTTGTTAGGTACTTTGGGTCCCCGTTCAGATCTCAGCAGCTAAGCAGGGCCAGCCCTGGCTAGTATTTGGATGGGAGACCTCCATGGAATACCAGGGTTGTGACGCAGAGGCAGGCAATGGCAAATGACCTCTGAACATCTCTTGGTTGGAAAACCCCATGAGGGGTCACCACAAGTCAGCTGCGACTTGACGGTACTTTACACGCATGCACACAAATAAATAAAAATAATAAAACTTAATTTCAGAGCTGATGCTTCTGCCTCTTGCTCTAATCCCGTAATGGGGGAAATTGCACTCCCCCCCCCCTTCTTCTTGCTCTCCAGTGGTCCAGATAGATATATATGTGTGTGCAAAATTATAAAATTAAAAATAAAGGTTTGTCTGTGGCTGGACTAGGAGGCCCCTCTCGCTTCCTCTCCATAACCAGGTTTTGTAAACAGAAGACAACTGTTAAAGGCACTGAAGCCCTTGTCTGACTCAGAAGCCAACAGCCCAGAAACAGCCCAGCAGATTGAATGATGCTTGAAAGTTGTTGTAATGCCAAACCAAAGTATCGCGTCCTCTGAGCAAGCCCTCGGGCTTCACCTCTGCCCCATCCCCCTCAGAGCACAGCTTCTCATTACAACTGCAGCTTGCTGTAAATTGGGGAGGGGGATTGGAGTGCCAGGGGAGACAAAGGGGCATGGCGGCTCTGAGCTCATTCGTGCAATGCTAAACCACGTTTTGGCTTCAGCAGCTGAACTGAAGTCACTGTTTATGGTTACCAAGGATTCATTGCCCTCTTTTTTATACTTGGGGGCACAATATTTTACTCATTTAACCAGTCAGGGCTACCAAGGCAGACTACCCATTTGGCTTTAATTAATGCAAGAACTATTGTGGTTAGTTGTTGTAGATTTTCCGGGTTGTATGGTCGTGGTCTTGGCATTGTAGGACCTGACGTTTTGCCAGCAGCTGTGACTGGCATCCTCAGAGGTATAACACAGAAAGATGGAGTACTTTCTGTGTCAGTGTGAGAAGAAAAACACAAAGTGCTCTTCATCTGACAACAGCACTACAGATAAGATTAGAATTTCAACAGCCAATCCACATACAAAAGAACCTCATCAGGAAAGCTCCTCCATCAGCATGTCACAGCCTGGGAGACTCCTACAAGATAATGACTCAGCCCTACCCCACCTTCCTGAGTAGATATAAATTACCTGCCTATCATTTTTCTTCTCACACTATGGAATGAATAAAGAATACCTTCACATCTGGGGGCAGCAAATACCTGAATACCAGTGCTAGGAGGCAGCATCAGGGGAAGGCCTTGGCCTCTGTGCTCTGTCTGTTGGTCCTCCAGGGCAACTGGTTAGCAGCTGTGTGAAACAGATGAACCACTGGTTTGATCCAGCGGGGGCACCTCTGATTTCTTATGAACCAAAGGAGTTCTTTCAGATCCAGTGCACAATGGGCTACTCCTTAGCAGATTCAGGACAGACAAATGGAAAATACTTCTTTACACAGAAAGTGATTTAAATGTGGGATTTGCTGCCAGAGGATGTAATGATGGCCACAGGAATAAACAGCTTTAACAGGGGATTAGATAGATTCATGGAGGATCGGTTTATCAGTGGCTACTGGTGACTGAGGGAAACCTCCACTTTCCGAGGCACCAAACCTCTGAATCCCAGAGCCAGGAGGCAACATCAGGGGAAGTTCTATGCCATGTTGTTGGGGAAGTTCTATGCCCTGTTGTGGGTCCTCCAGAGTTACTGGTTGGCCGCTGTGTGAGACAGGATGCTGGACTAGATGGACCACTGGTCTGATTCAACAGGGCTCCTATGTTTTATGTTTTCTCTCTCTTTCTTTTCAAATACCATACCTGGATAAATTATTATTGCTAAAGCCTCATTGGCCCTGACGTGGAAGGCCCAGGATTGATCTCATCAGATCTCAGAAGCTAAGGAGAGTAGGCCCTGGCTGATATTTGGATGGGAGACCTCCAAGGAATACCAGGGTCATGACACAGAGGCAGGCAATAGCAAACCACCTCTGAACGTCTCTTGCCTTGAAAACTCTACAGGGTCGCCATAAGTTGGCTGTGACTTGACAGCACAGAAGAAAGCCATTTTTATATATACAATTCCATTTATTAGAGATCCAGTGTAAATCGATTGCCTTCCTGTGAACTTTTTTAAAAAAAACACCACCTCCTATCGATGTGAGGCAGGTGATCACATGCAGATAAACTGCAAAGTGACCAATTGTCTTTCAAGGGCTGACTTTTCTCTAGCAGAGAAACCTTAATCTACCTGGTTATCTTTTGCAGGCTATCAAGAACATGATAGAGATAGAGAAGGTGAAAGGCTTTTGTCAAGTCGTCGTGGCTAATAAACTCCGAGACGGCATTTCCCACTTGATACAGTCGTGCGGGCTGGGTGGCATGAAGCACAACACGGTGGTGCTGGGCTGGCCCTACGGCTGGAGGCAAAGCGAAGATCCAAGAGCCTGGAAAACATTTATAGGTAAGCTGAAAGGAGACCTTCTTAGCATCTGGGCACACGAAGAACGAAATGCACTGCAAATGTGGGCCTAACTTTAGACTGGAACTGGAGGAGAGAGGAGTACCTGTCCGGTCTGCAGCTGGGCAAGGGATGGGCGTAATGGCAGGGTGTGATTTACTGGTCGGGCCAGTTTGACTCAGTGGTCATTTTATATGCAAGCAGCCCCTCGATCAAGGATGTCTTCTGTTCTCTCCCTTCCTTCTTTCTCGCCTCCAGACACGGTGCGTTGCACGACCGCGGCCCACCTTGCCTTGCTGGTGCCCAAAAATGTGTCCTTCTACCCTGGCAACCACGAGCGTTACCTGGAAGGGAACATCGATGTCTGGTGGATCGTGCACGACGGAGGCATGTTGATGCTGCTTCCTTTCCTACTCAAACAACATAAAGTAAGAGTGCCCCAGGGCAGCAAGAATGATTGGGGGACTCCACGACTGTGTGTATACGTGCGTGTGCGTTCGCTCAGGCCTGGATGACCATTATTGGTTGATCAGCTCTGCCCAGAAGTGCACACAATGGCAATTGATAGGCCTGTCACAAAGCTAGTTCCAAAAAGGAGAGCGAAGTAGTTAAGTGCCTTGCAACAAATGGCTCCTTTTCTTTGGAGAGGTCTCAGAACTGCTGTTCCTGCTCTGGCAGGATGCTAGCAGCAGATGGATCCAGCACACTTTTTTCACCCAGTTCCCCTCCTTACTGCTGCTTTTATCCCATGTGGCTTTGGTGTATGCCGGTCCTGTGAGCCCCAGCATAAGGAGTGGACCTAAGCAGATCTATGCAGGTGTAATTCCAATTTTATTCACTGGTACTCTCAGGCAAGTGTTGTTAGGCTTGCAGCTGTAGCGGGTCATCCCCCCGCCCTTCTGAGGTGTGGTCTCCATTTCCACCAACAAAAACCTGATTGGATCCAACCTAGTGCTTCCTGGGCTGGCCCTGCTGGATTTTGAGCTGTCCATTCATCATGCTGAACCAGGGGCATCCCCTGCTAGGTCAACAAAATATTTGCTGTATTCAGACCTGTCTGCTGCCAGTGAGTAGTAACAATATGGTAGATCTGCTAGTAGAGTACACCTAAGGTTGTCATAAGTTTAAAACTATAATGGACTAGACTGTCGAGACAGTTTTTCTTGAAATTGCTACAAGCACAAAAAAATAACAAAAATGTGTATTTTGAAGGGTATAGTATGCAGCTCATATGTTGATTGTGGGAGGGGCAGAGATGATTTTTGCACTTTTCAGCAAGTCAGTGCTCCAAAACACCATGTGTGCGTAAAAGCAGCACAATGAAATGTGCTGGTTGAACTGATGACGGGTAGGCGAGTGGACATAGCCAGATACATTGCTGGATCTACTTGCAGGTAGAAGGTGGCGGGTGCAGAAATTCCTGAGAACCTAGAAACTTCCCATGAATGTTTAGCCATCCATTTCTGCTCCATTCCTGTGCACATCACTCTAAATTTCTGAAAGAGACCTTTGAGCTTCAAAATGAAGCCTTAGTGGATTGTTGTGCTCAAAGTACATTCTCATTTTGTGACAAGAAGAATGAGCCCATGTTTCATTGGAAACGTGACCTTGGCGAGAGAGGGCCATTTGATAGTTTATTACTTATTTACTTTGGCTGTAAATACATTCAACATCTACAGCGACTGCAAAATTTCTGCAAGGTCTAGTGATGCAACTCTTGTGCCAAATTTTGTTAATTTGGTGGCCAAGACGTGCCAGGAGTCTAATTCTATACACACATACTGGTACATACTCCCTTAAAATGGAGCCAAACACCTTGAATTTGTGAATTGTGGTGCTGGGTGGGGGGAGGTCAGTGCTCTAATGAAGGATGCCAGATGATTGCAAAGCGATGTGACCTCGTTCTCACTGAACAGACCCAGCTCTGTTTGGACTGTACCACTTCAGATTACCTTGAGCCTTGCGGAAATGTAGGATATAAATGTTTGAATAAATAAGTGGGGGTTCTTTTTTTTCCTTTTTTCATATTTATCAGTTTCCCACTTAGTTATCACTTACATATATTTATCTTTATATACATTTGAGTCTATAGTTTCCATACTTTGTTCATCCAGTTATACAGGCTTTTCCATTTTTCCAAAAATACATTGAAGGATTAAGCTTAATTTGTCAATTTCTGCTATTTCTAGTAATTTGCATTCTGTTTCCTCTCTTGCGGGAAGTTTATCTTGTTTCCAATATCTGGCTAGCAATATCCTGGCAGTTGTTAAGATATGTATCAACAAATACTTATAATTTTGTTTATAACCCTCCGGAATCATGTTTAATAAAGCTATTTCAGGAGTTAGGGCCAAATTTAAATTCATGATATCTAATATTATCTTTTGTATCATCTTCCAATAAGTATAGATTTTCCCACGATGCCACCACATATGAAAGAAAGTCCCCACATTCCTTTTACCCTTCCAACAGTTTTTAGATACAGATGGTTGACACTTGGCTATTCTATCTGGGGACCAGTACCACCAGTGGAATACTTTATAAATATTTTCTTTATAATTAATCACTCTCATATATTTCAATGACTTCCATATATTTGCCCTTTGATCTATATCGATCGACTATCCTATATCCTTCATCCATGCTACCATCGTTAAGTGGGAGTTCTTGAGCAGGGAGGGGAAACCTGGCAACCAGAGGACAGTAATGGCTGCTCAGGGACATACGGGAAGAAGCAATCCTTCAGACATTTTTTTAGGTGTTCAGAGAACGCACCTTGATAGCATTCTGTATGTACAACATTCTGACATTCACCACAAAAAATGCATCCGAGCAGATGCACCATTGTGTCTGCATGCAGATTTGCAAGTTTTTTGAGATTTTTTTTCTCCTTTCCCTAGGTTTGGCGGAAGTGCAAAATGCGGATATTCACAGTCGCTCAAATGGATGACAACAGCATCCAGATGAAGAAAGATTTGGCGACTTTCCTTTATCACCTCCGAATCGAGGCTGAAGTGGAAGTGGTCGAAATGGTAATGGGTTTTATCTTGTTCTGTGGTTTGGAACTGTGGATTCTTACCCCTGCGTTGTAGGCTGCTGCTTTGAATGCCTTTCGTGATTCTTGTTTCTGTTTTTAGCAAAACAGCGACATCTCAGCCTACACTTACGAAAGGACTTTGATGATGGAGCAGAGATCTCAGATGCTGAGGCAGATGAGGCTGACCAAAACAGAAAGAGAAAGGGAGGTATGTATGAGCACTGTTGGAAAGAAATGAGTTAAAGCAAGGTCTGGTGCGTCTTGGAAGCGATGATCCACTTGGTTTTACAGTGCAAACAATCTCCCCCTAAACCTGCAGAAAGGTTCACTGTTTGAGAGGTTCGTTATCCTATCTGGTCATGACAGATGAGGCCATCTCTGGCAAACTAGAGCTGGGTGTCATTGGTGTAGTGATAGCACTCATCCTAAACAGCTTCAGCCAGCCATTTTGTGTAGCTGTTGAGCATCTTGTGGGATAAGACCGAACGAGTGTGGGATAGTTGTTGGAGGGCCAGACTGGGAATGGGGAGATACAGAGATCAGATTCTCACTAGGTCATGAGCCTTCCTGGATGACCTTGGGCAGTCGCTCTCTCCACAAACCTCTCACCACAAACCTCTCACAGAGGATAAACTGGAGAAGGGGAACAGCCATGAACGCTGCCCTGAGCTCTTTGAGAAGAGATTGGATTTATACCCCGCCCTTCACTACCCAAAGGAGTCTCAGAGTGGCTTACAAACTCCTTTCCCTTCCCCGCCCCACAACAGACACCCTGTGAGGTAGTGTCAGCAAGCTGCCAAAGGTTCTTATTGTTCCTATATGCATTCTGGTACCTGAGTTCGGCAATGTACCTATCTCTGTATTTCTCCCCCCCCCCCTCTAGACATCCGCTCATATAACCATGCGCATATATTCATAGTGGTTGCATTCTTGTTAGTCTACACCAGCCATGCCTGCTGTAACGTTATCATTTCCAAGGTCACAGGTGGTCAAGAGAAGTCTGCTTTGCTTTGCTTTGGTTTTAATGAGTAGAAACTGTGGGAAGCGTTTTGTAGTGATAACACAGTTGCCGTTGCTTTCCCAGGGGTTTTGGGCGCATAAACTGTTTTTTGGGCGCGAGAGGGAACCATGTCTATTGGCTGTATTAATTATGAATTTGCTTTAAACTTACCAGCTCAATGAGCTAGCGTTATTCTGAACAGTGTTTCTGTTCAGTGACCCATGGCTTCAATAAAGTAATCCCTTTCTATAAGTGTGTACTCCGTTGAATTGCTGCAGGACCTGACAGGTAGGTGGGGCTGAGAGAGCTCTTTCAAGAACTGCCCTTTCAAGGACAGCTCTGACAGAACTATGGCTTGCCCAAGGTCATCCAGCAAGTGCAGGTGGAGGAGTGGGGAATCAAACCCGGTTCTCCCAGATTAGAGTCCGCGCACTTCACCACTACACCAAACTGGCTCTCAGTTTGGAAGAGAGGTGGGATAAAAATGTAACCAGAGTCCTGCTAAGCTAAAGTCTCCCCATGGCGCTTAGTACTCTAAGTTAATTCTAGCTGTCTCAAGGATCACTTGCTGGGTGGCTGCTCCAGGATTATAAACTGGGGGTGAGCATGGCTGTTTCCAAGAAGGCAAAGAATGCTAATGTTCTAAGGTTTGCTGTGGAATTCCCAGTTGTGTTTCTCCTGGAGTCCATGCTGCAGATATTTGGTGTACCACAACAGGCCATTCTTTATACATTCTCAAAACTGGAAAAGCAGTTATCTGAAAGATCTCTTGCTCCCATGGCCCTCTTGCAGATGGGGGCAGAGGTGGAGCTTAAACTTGAATTCCAAATGTAATCTCACACTGCAGTATCCACACCCATTGGATATTGTGCAGTTGTTGCAGTACAATAGTCGTTTGCAACTGGGTTGCCTTCATGCAGTATATTCCCGTTGCAAATGGTTTCTTCTGCACGACACTAGTGCAGTATCCAGCGTAGCCTTAGTCTTCAAGGTAGAGATCACATTGCCTTGTATGTTTTCATTTTCCGCTCCCGCTTTGGGAAACAGGTGTTGGCTTGTACTGGTGTTTGCATGTGACATTGTGTCCTGCGAATATATACTGCTGGCGAACTTTATTCCAGAATCAGTTTTTGCTGATGTGAGTAATTGCACTACAGATAAGCTGCCAAGCAGAGTGATGACCAGTCCCACTAAACCAAAGTCTTCAATTTGTTCAGGACTTTTTTCACTCTGTCAATGGGCCTTGCAAACAAGACCTGTAAGCACTGCTAGCCCACAAACGTTTTTGCTAGTCAGCATGCCCGCATGTATTGATTGCTGTTTGGGACTTCGAAAACTGACCCTTGTAAAGCTCACCTGCAAGCTATCCTGCTCACCTTGGGTGACCATGTGTACAAGCATGTATTTTGCTGTGTGTAGTGACAGTTGCGCCAATGGCTCCTTGTCATCTTGTGTTCAGACAGGACATTCAAAATTTCTTTCCAATAGTGTGACCCCTTTAGTAGGGGGATAGTAAAAGCGTTCTGGTGCAACCTCGTCTTCTGAAAATAAAGTTCCCAGCTCGTCATTCTTCCAGGCTCAGCTCATAAAGGACAGGCACTCGATCATAAGGTTGGAGAGCCTCTACTCAGATGAGGAAGATGAGGGGGAAGCGGTGCCCGAAAAGATCCAGATGACATGGACAAAGGACAAGTACGACAATGATAAACGGAGCCGGAACAGTGCAGTGGAGAACTTCCGGGAGCTCATCAGTATTAAACCGTAAGTGCCAGAGAGTAAGAAGCGCAAACCACGATAGTAATGTGATGCCATGTTTGTAATGCATTATCGTTCAGGGACTTCATCTTTTTGGTTTGTTCTTGCCATTTACTTCATCTATGCCCTACTTTTCTCCCCAGTGGGGATGCAGAGTGGCTTAAACTGTTCTCTGCGTTTTATCCTCACAGCAACCGTGTGAGGCAGGTTAGGCTGAGAGTATGTGACTCATCCCAGGTCACTCAGCAAGCTTCCACAGGCAGAGTGGGGATTTGAAACTCTGCCTCTGAGATCCCGGTCCGACACTCCTCACCACAATACCCTACTGCATTTTAAATTGTTTCAACAATAAATTGGAGCAGGGTGCCAGGCCAAGCTTGGGAGTTAACTGGGTGAGAAAAGGGAGCAAACTATTTTGCATGCCTTCCTGTATAAGCATTGAGGGCACATGGCTCCTTCAAGTTAGGGGTGTGACCCCACTGGGAGCTCTGAAAGTGGAGGGCCACAAGTCCTTGATTGCAGTGGGACGAGTTACAAGTTCCACGCATCAGCCCAGGGTTTACTGATTGTTCCTCCACTCGGGTCAGCGAGAGCGGCGACTTCTGGGCTTGTGCCTTCTTGGTGGCCATTCCCACACTGTGGAAGAGGCTTCTCAGGGATGGGAGGAAGCCCTCCATCCTTGCATGGATTTCAGAGGGAGGCTCTGTAAAAGCAGAGCTTTCCCCGTGTACTTTTGGTGACTTGAGAGCGGAGGCTGCAGTCTGCTTCTTTTTAAGTCGTATTTGAGATTTTGTTTCGCTGCTTTGTGTGAGCTGCTTTGACGTCTTGTCAATGGGGAGAAAAGCAGGGATGCAAATGTTTGTAAATAAATAAATGACTCAAATTGGAGATGGAGGGTGGGAGGTGCACAGAGAGGAGTTGCATGGGGACCAGGTAGGAGCTGGCCAGCATTGAAGATCTCCTCCAAAGGTGGGCCAGTGGCAGCCTGAGGTCCGTCCACACCTGGCCCACGGGAGCTTGTCTCTTGGCCCTCAGTCCGCCAGGCAGTTTGTAAGGGAGCGCTGATCTATCAGGCTGCCCCATCAGCTAGTGGATTGATGCTCCCCCAAAACCGTTCAAATGGCTGAGGGGCTAAATGCCAGTAAGAGCAGCAGCTTGCGGGTAGAGGGCCATATCTGGGTCTCGACCCACTTGTGAGGGCTCCAAGCTGGACATCAGTTCTGAAAACGAGAAGAGCCGGTGTCCAACGGAGCCCTCGAAAGCCAACTTAATGGTGGTCCTCAGGCTGGAAAACTTGCCTGCTCCTGATCTAGTCCATTTTTTTAGAAGCAAACACAATTTTTCTACAGGCTGTCTGGTTTCAGTGAATCACTAGTGAGTGCTTTGGGTTGGTGGAGTTGTGTAGAATTTGCAGTTTTCTGCCGTTATGCTTGCCTGTCAACCTAAGCTTGAAAAAGCTGATTGAAAAACATTCTGCAGTTTCCTTTGTAGATCTGCAAACGTGATGATACGGTTAGCTGTTCATAAGTTCCTTGCAAGTTCTGCTTGCTTATTCAGCTGCTTGTAATAACATAAAAGATAAACGCTCTGCTTTTAGGTTAGGGCTGAACTGAAAAATAACTCTCTCTTTTCTCGTCTGTCAACTAAGTTACATTTTTGGAGTGCTAATTTTAATTGCTGCAATTTCCTTCCATGCTATCAGTGAGTGGGAAAGACTGTAAGTTTGCTTGTTTATGTTATCTTTAATAACCTGGGCTGAAGATTTATTCTCTCTTCCATCCAAACAAAGAATGACATATGAATATCTGCATGTTTAAATAATGAATTAGCCCAATCACATAGAATCTATAGAGGATGTGCAGATGAGGGGCACTGAACCCCCCCCCCCCCCCCCCCCTGCCTTTTTTTCCCCCCTCAGCTACTTTCACTTTTTGGATCAACCAGGGCTATTTTTGGGCAGGAACGCACAGGAATGGAGTTCCAGCTGGCTCCTGAGTTGGCCACGCCCAGCAGGAACTCATTAGCATAATAGGCCACACCCAATAGCAGTAACTCATTAGGATTGGCTACATTAGGGGTGTGTGGCCTAACATGCAAAGGAGTTCCTGCTACAAAAAAGCCCTGGGTTTTGACAACAAACAAGGTAAACAGAATAAGAAGGGAAAGGTGGGTGTGGCTGGATGACCACACTTCTGGTAACATGGGGGTGTGGCCTAATGTGCTAATGAGTGGTGCTGTCAGGGGTGTGGCCTAATATGCTAATGAGTTTTGCTGTCAGGGGTGTGACCTATTATGCTAATGAGTTCCTGCTGGGCTTTTTCTACAAAAAGAGCCCTGGGATCAACTAAGAAAGTACTTGAAGAGAGCAGCTGAGGCAAGGCAAGTGGTGGGTTGAGGCATTTTGCAAAGCTCATGTCCTCCCCCCCCCCCCCCCCTAA